AATCAAGCCACCCAGGCACCTCCTTTTTTTCTTCTTTAGATAAAAGGTTGAACATACAATCTGCATTTGAACCTCCCAGCCATATTTGTTTCTTTCTGGACAGTGTCTCTCGAATGATTGTTTTTGAATGCTCTGCCTTCTTTCCCAGCTCTAGAGAAGAATTTTGGTCAAGTACTGGATTTAAATGAGCTTGGAAATGTACTTTGCCTAAAATAGTTTAGGAAAGCCCAATATGACCTTGAGTCATCCTTGATCCTAGGCCTATTCAGTTACTTCTTAGCATGACCTTCATTCATTAATTATAGAGTTAATTTCAGAGGGATTAAACAAACACATGTGGTTATAAAATAACTAAAACTTGGTTAGTAGAAATATGCAAACTTGCTGTCCCTTTTCATTGTTTTATGATATGTTTAAATTACAGTGGGAAAAGACCTACAATATATTCTTTGAAGCGAAACTCCTATGAAACAGTTTTAATGTGCTGCTTGGTTTTTCTTTTGTAATATCACAAGATTATCTTGGATCTAGACAAATCAATTAAAATCCTGTAGAAAAGTAAAACCACCAAAAAGTCATTTCATTTTTATTTCTACCTCTGATCTCCTTTCCTTTGGTTTGGAAAGAGGTAGGAATTCTTATGATATTCCAATAGCTGTACTAGGGTCTAGTACCATATTCCTTGCTGGTGATGCTGCTGCTGCTGCCGATCTAACCACTGCTGTGAACTCATTAGGACTTCTATGAAAGCAGGGCTCATGCTCATCTGATTCACTGCTTCACAGCCCCTAGCACAGTGCCTGGGATTCAGTAGCCATTTCATAAATATTTGGTGACTGACTGAATTATGAAATAAACCAATAAGCACATACCCTTCTATCGGTTAGTATACACACACTATTTTGTGTTTTTTACCAAATGACTTCTTTTTCTTTTCATAGTAACTTTTGTCTCATCAGCTCGAGGGCTGTCTGTATGCAAGATATTATCATTAGTTTTGTCTTTCCTACTAGAATAAAAGTCTCTTATGTCCTCCATCTCAGACTGCTTTGTACACAACAGGTGCTCACTAAATAGTTGTTGGGTAATCACTTAATGCAATCATACCATAATAAGTCACTATACCAATTCCTGAAAGGCTTCAACCCCTCTCTGTGCTATAGTCTTTATTGAGGTCAATGTTTTCTTTTTTATAGCAAAACTGATCCTGGGGAAATTTAATGGGTTATTTCTTTGTTCTATTCTATTTAAGAATAGTGCCACCATGTGTCAACTTTAACAATGGTGTACTTAAAGCAGGAATACTGAAAAAAATTATTTGGAGAAAAAAAAACAAAAGCCAAGTAAAAGAATAGAAAGTTCAATGCTGATTTAATATTGGAACACCCATTAGTTGTGTGAAGCAATGGTGAGCATAAAGAAATTAAGAGTAGCTTACTATCTTCAACTTTTCTAAAGGAACTGAAAACTCAAAATATTTTCAACTTGACTTAGTGGAAGAAGCAGACAGGGAAAAGAATGAGTCAAAGTCCTTTATAATAAATTCTCTTTTTTTTTAATAATAAATTCTCTTAACAGTTGCATAAATGGTGGTAACCAAGAGAGATTGTAGTTACTCAAGAACTTCAGCAGAAACATTGGTAAACAGTAATTTGGAAGGATTTAAATTTCAGGTGATCTAAGATAAACAATAACTTACTGAATTACCCTTGAAATGATGATTTCCATGATTTTCTAGACCCTGCATTATTATCACAGTATTAACTTTATGGCATTGGTTTTCACACTGTGTTTGCGTGTTCCCCACAAAGATGCCTGATGGACATTATCTCCGTCAAAGGGCAGGCTCAGTTGATGGCATTCTATCCTTCCTGCCACCCACACTCTCCTGCTTCAATTCTAGAGCATCTCCACTTTGGTGTTTTATATATACTGGTTTCCCTCCCAAGAATTTATTTGAAAACAAAAAGTGTTCTATTTCTTTAAAAGTAAAATAAAGTACTACATAGTATGTAATAATCTTATGCTATTATAAGGATAAATAAATGTGAAAAAAAAAAACCACCTCAAATTAAGGTGACTATAGTTTGTGGTAGAGACAGCTAGTTATAACTCCAGGCCCCCCTCCCTGCACCTTTTATCCTTTAGAGTTGTGGGTACATGTCCAGCTAGGAACTAAATTTCCCAGCCTTCCCTCTTTTATCTAGATGGGGCTTCCTTTTCTCAATTATATGGTAGAGAAAATGCTATACCAGTAAAACCTTAGATGGTGAGTAACTTGTTCTGCGAGTGTTCCACAAGATGAGGAAACATCTCTAACAAATTTTTACTTTATAAACGAGCGATGTCTTACAAGTATGCAATAGGAGTACTAAGTAACACTGAAAGTCACATGATTAGAACTGAGCCAATCGTTCTGTCTCTCTCTGTGGGATTGTGGGTGATCGTCTCCCACACTCAGTCTCAAACCATGATGACCACCGATCAACTGATGGATCTGTATTGCAAGCAACAGCAAGAGGTTATGGAGGCGATCTTATCTGCAGAGGAGGAGGAGAAAAAGGCAGAGGAATCCCTTACTTCAAATGAGATTAGGGAGATGTGTAAAATGTAGGAAACTGCAAAATTCTGTAGGAAAGCACCACCCAAATAAGGCTGTAGCAGTGTGAGCGATGAATCTGTTTAATGACAATGCAATGTCACATTTCCGTGAAATCCTCATAAGGAGGCAAAAGCAAGTATCATTGGAAAGATTTCTTGTTAAAGTTGCACGAAAAGAAAAAGATTCCGTTGAGCCAATAGATAGCATGATTTCATTAGTGACAGTGAAAGTTGTCCTACACAATAACCCTCCCATCTCTTGTCTCCCTCACCATGAAGCCATGAAGGTTTTCAAAGGTAAGTGCAGATTAATTTGTTTATTTTTCTTTATATTTTCTATTGTCTTTATTATTTTATATTACATTACAGACTATTTTTGGGTTGTGGAACAAATCATCTGAATTTCCATTATTTCATATGGGGAAATTTGCTTTGATATACAAGTGCTTTGGATTCCAAGCATGTTTCTGGAAAAAATTATGCTTGCAAACCAAGGTTTTAGTATCCTTTGGGGCCCATGTGGTTAAGAAGCAGGTATGTCTTCTTTTTTGCCCAAACACCAACTAAATACAGAAGTCTCTGAGGCTCTATGGCAGGAATAGCAAACTACAGGCCCAATCCAGCAGGCTGTTTTTGTAAAGGCTGTTTTTGTAAACAGAGTTTCATGGGAACACAGGCATGCCCATTTATTTTACAGTATTGTCTATAGAACTACAAGTACAAAGACAGAAGTAAAGAGTTGAAACAGGGACCCTAAGAGACCCTAAAGCCACAGAGCCTTAAGCATTTATAGTCTGGCCCTTTACAAAAAATGTTTGTTGACTGCTATTCTACAGGATGGAAGGAGCCTGAGAGTCCAAATTATTACACAGAGGAAAGCTGCCCATTGACTAAAGATACCTGCTTTACTAAACTGTTCTGTGAGCAAGAAAGAAATTTCTCTTGTGTTAAGTCACTGAAAATTTTAGTTACAGCAGCTAGGAACATACTATCAGTTAAACACACTAGTCCTGGAAGCTGGTCCAAAAACCTACATATTTATTTAAAACTTTCCCCATGTTTCTGGCAGATGAATGGTAATTGAAGCAGACAGCATAACTCAAGGTCTTGCTCAGAAGTACTGAAAGAAAACTTCAAATGTAAAAAGCAAACAGAAGATAAAGCATCAAGAACATTTAAAGAAGCTACTTACGCAAATAATTTACCTTAAAAACATAAGGTCAAGGGGCGCCTGGGTGGCGCAGTCGGTTAAGCGTCTGACTTCGGCTCAGGTCATGATCTGGCGGTCTGTGAGTTCGAGCCCCGCCTCAGGCTCTGGGC